ATGGACTAAGGCCTTGTCGTTAACGATTATATTTTGTCATACGTATTTTTAGTACATTGTTTTGATACCTGAATAAATCATATTTCTTTTTGTTGTACATGGTAGAAATTAAAGATTAAAAAAGGGATCGTGTGTAAAATGTAGTTTCTTTCTTTGGTACATACTTAAATTAAAAAATACATATTTGTATATCTATCAGTTTTCGCAACGTGCCAGGCGTATGAATATTCGAGTCACGGCACGGCACTGTATCTTTGAGCAAGATAATTTACACCGCTTGTTCCAGTCTACTAAGCTGTAAATTAGTATTTGATTGGGCAGTGCTAGAATTGTTGAATGCTAGCTGTTAGCACCGAAATGTTCGAGGTTCTTATATACCGCTTTAACAAAACCTAGTGCGTAGGTCGTCTCAAAGCGGTTCACAAATTATTATCCGTGGTTATTGGGCCAAGACATATTTTTCTAAAATCCCTGGGAAGAGCATACAGTCGGTGCTCCCATTTTGGTGCTCACAGCTAGCACTGCCCAACCACGTACTCATTTACAGGTGAGTAGACTTCAATGTCCCCTGAATAGAAGACAAGAAAGAAGCCACCCACGATTCTGCAGGGGGTTGGGTGGGGGGGGGGGCACATCAGTCGCATCTAACGATCACATCTACCTACCCATGTAATGCATGTGGTTCAGACCACTGACGACGTTTACAGAGCTGGTCATGATTCGATCAGAGCACGTGGAACTGCACTCCGACTCTATGATATGACGAGATTCTCCGGGTGGGATACTGAATTGACTTTCTCCTATCATCAAGTTTCCGAGATTATAAGGCCGTAACACTGGAGTGTAGTACAGGGACATTCCGGAACTGTCTTCGTAATCACTTCTCAACGATGGATTGTTCCAATGCATCTACAAAGTTTGGGAAAACGTTACTCAGGTAACTTTTGCATTAAAGAGGAAACCATTGGGAACACACAATGTCAATAAAACACATATATCAATTCACACTTTTGAAACACACTTGACAAGCTTCTACGAGTAAGAAGTTAATGTTATTTTTCTGCTATCGTTTTTGTACGTGTCTTTTACTTTATTAACGTACCTGCATT